GGGTGGCCCCAACGGTGGCCATTGCCACGCCTATGCGGGGAGGCGGGACGTCGCCAGTGGCCGGAGCCACTGACCACGTCGTGGTTCGGAGGTCGAAGACGTAGAGATGGTTGTCGACTGGGACACGAGGGGCGAACTCGCCGCCAAAGGCGTAGACTTTATCCCCGACAAGGGCTATGGCGTGGGAGCTTCTGGCTCCTGGTCCTGTCCCCTTCTGGTCAAGCTAAAGACAACAAAGAAACAGGTATCACAAACAAGACAGAGAGATCATTCAGATTAAGAAACTGATAATCTGACATTAGTTTCTTAATCAATCGAACCCATAAAGAAGAAGATAAAAGCAAGAACGGAACCCTAACAAATCCATATTCGTCAAGTAGACAACAGATGGAAAATGACAGGATGATTCGTTCATCTTTCCTCGTCGTTTTCTCACTAACCCAACCAAACCCTACATTAATCAGAGAGGGCTGAAGTCATCGTCAACGTCAGCTAATTAAAACCCATCTCGGAATTTCGGTCAATCGATAACTTCCTCATGCCATCAATCGATGTCAGCCATGAATCTATGATTCATTTAAACAGGAATCAGAATTCATATATGGGCGGAGGCAATTCCCCCGCCGGAAGCTAATCTCATCATGAAATTTGTCGGCTCGAACGATCTATGATTGATTCGCAAGATCCGATAGTGGAATTCCACACTTAAAAAAAAAACAGTTACTCTTCTGTAATTGAAGTAGAATAAACACCAGAATTTCCCAGAAAATTCAAAACAAAAAAGAAACATGACTGGATTTCGATGAGCCCACATGGGATTTTCCGATGACAGCATAGACAGAATAGAGATTAACAAGAAAAAAATAAAAAGGCAGAGACTTTACCTTAACCCAGTTGCCTTTCATTGGAGTCGCCATTGCTGCACCACAGAAGAACACCAAAAAGAAAGATCCCAATCGTCTTTTTTTGTTGTTGGTCGGGTGTCCCTGCGTCTTTTTATAGGCAAGAAAAAATTGATTTGTTTTTTATATAAAAAAATGGTTTGTTATTTATTTAAGCATGACTACAAAAATGAAAAAGGAATCTGAATATTTATGTGCATATATATATATATATATATTGCAGTATTAGGGTTATTAGATTAGATTTAAGACGGCATGAAATGTGCAGCTTCACAAGTATCAAACAGAAGTTTGACGTCATGGCTTGCGTAACCCAATTTCAAAAATATTCTTACAAAAATTCTAAACTAATTAGCAGGTTTTTCAATTTGACAAACAGATAACCAAAAGGCTCTAAATCCGTAAATCGAACGTTTATGAAACATCCATCTCTTCATTTGTTAATATGTTCCAAAATATCATCATAATTTATTTCGCTATTGTTATTGGATCTCCACCCATTTTTTTTGAATCGAAAAATCTTCACTGTGATAAATTGAATCTCTTTCACCTAAAATTGGATAATTCAGCTGATGAAATAAGAGTGTTTAATATATATTTCGTACCGAATTCGAATCTGAAATTTGAAAAGGATTGTTTAGATGGATTTCTCCGTTAACGAGATTAATCTCTACCTTGACCCAAAATACCCGATTTTTTTTTTTTTTAAATGTCTTCCAATCTTTCAATTCGAAAGGCAGAAATGGGCTTCTAGGCTCTAGTGTGGTCCAAAGTTAAAGATCTTCGGTGAGACTTTGATATTTTGCGAGTTATTATATAAATATAAGATATAATTATTAATAATCATAATTGTCGGGTATCCGCGAGTATCCGATTTTAAAAATTTTATTATTCAAATTTGGATTCGGATTTACGGGTATTGAAAAATTGAGATTTAGATTCGGATTTGAAAATTACGAGTACCCAAAAATCGGTTATCCGTGAGACGAGTATCCGACGGATACCCGATTTTCGGGTATTTGTGCCCAGTCTTAATTGGTACACAGAAACATACTAAACAATCATAAATTAGGAGAATTCCCAAAAATATAACAATACATTTTGGAAACTAATCTCAATTAGCAGATGAATGCAAATCAAGATCAGTAGTTCCCTTGATTGTCTCGTCATTTTTGCACATTTCTCTTGTTCTTTTTTGGGCTCCAACCGATTAGGCCCATTTAAATTATCACAAAAAGGCCGTCGTCTTCGTATCAATCACTTGCTGTCAATTCCTCTCTTTGATTTCGTTCTTGTTTCTTTCTAAGCATTTAGTCCAACTTCCTTTGACTAAATTCTTTTTTTTTTTTTGGGGATAAATTTCGGATTCGGAGACCAATCCCTTGACTAAATTCTTTTTATGCCTTAACCTGTAAATTTTGAAAATCTGATCATTTTTTTTTATAGAAAACATCTGCCCCCAAGCAATCGTGTTCTACTTGCAGACACTTTTTTTCTCGTCCTATTTCTTCGCATTAAAAATTTGTACGTTTTTTTTTTGGTAAAATGAAAGATTTGGTGCTTAATTGTGATGTTTTTTTTTACATGGTGTTTGGATATTTATATATTATATAAATACGCATATTTGGATATATAGCCTTTTTTATTCGGATATATATTTAATTTAAATACTATATATATATACATGTGTGTATATATTGATCAAAATGCCTTTTGGATACGGTCAGATCGGATTGAGTTTTGTTTGGTTTTGGAAAACGGGGCGAAAATAGCGATGAGTCTCCCAAATCTGTTGGGCTTCGAAATCAATAAAAGGCCCATTTCCATTCTCCAACGTAGAGAGCAACCTCGTCTGCTCTTCGGCCATGGCGGTACGATCTCCCACTCTCGCTTTAGTTTCTGCGAATTCATATCAGCGTTCATCTTTCTTTCTTTTTTCTTCTGATTCTGATTGTTTCCGTTTGATCCATCTTTCGTTTTCGTTTTACCGTTCTCTTTCAATCAATCTTCACATTGTTCTCTTTTATTTGTTCATAGATCCGTTTGTCTCGGAAGTCGAAAGTTTTCCGTTCGATCGGCTCTTTGGATTATGAATGCGCGTTTTGATTATGTCTTTTTATAGAATGAAAAACCATCGTCCAGTTTAAAATTGGTTCCAGGAACAATTTGTTAATGTGGTACTTAGGGTTTGTTGCCGTTTTTAGTCTCATTTTGTAGCATCTGGGTTTTGCAATCTTATGGAAAATCGGTGTAGATCCCCTAGGATTGAGATCCCTAGATGTTTGTTGTTCATGTGAATAATTAAGAGTCTTGCGACGCCGTTTGCTAGTGCTGCTATTGCCGTAATTATCAAGGGAAAATCACTCAAATGACCCACTTGGGTCGCATCTATTTCAACATCTATTTCAGCTGTACACCACCAAAAACATAACACATTTTTTTCTCCATAAAAAGACGAAATTACCCTTAATGAATCACGATATTTATCCATTCGAAAACAACTTCGTTATTACGACTTCGTAATTAATTCTAAATATAGTTACAAAAAGGTGGCAAAAAAAATTATCCGTCTTATTTTAGTTGTATATCAGTTATATTTAGTCGCAAAAAGATCGCAAAAAATAAAACGAAAAGGGTATTTTGGACTTTTTCAATCGAAAAGTGGGTTAAAATTGAATTTTTTTTTTTTTTTTTGGGTGGTGTACCCTGAAATTGCTGCTACCCAAGTGGGTTATTAGGGTTAAAACCCCAATTATCAATGCGGGAGATATTGTCCAGTTTGGTCTCTGTCTGTATCGATAAGGACAACCTTAGCAACAAAAGAACGTCACTTCACTTGATTGAAACCACATGAGAATGTTCTTCGACCGTCTGTTATGTTAGTCGGGGGGTGGCTTTGCACAGCATCAAACTCCTTTTTGATGTCCCCTAGAAATCTGATACTCCAACTCTGGGTGAATGTTTACTGTCCTTCAACATGGGAACTTGGTGTCCGCTGTCCTTCAACATGGCTGAATGTTTAACTGTTTATACAGGAGAAGGGTCCGCCCTTACACAAGTTTGGTGAATGGGATGTGAACGACCCGGCATCGGCCGAGGGATTCACTGTTATCTTCAACAAGGCCAGGAATGAGAAGAAGGGCGGTGTCAAAACCGATGACAAAGATTCTCGCAACTACAAAACCACTGTTGTTCTTGGCAAGCCTCAATCTGTAAGCCCCTTTATCCATACAATATACTTAGTTCATACCTAGGTCTCTCAGTTTCGAATGCCACTGCTGTTTCATATATTACCAAGAGATCCCAGACAGAACCACGAATGTGGCTTCAATTCCAAGCACCCAATATGATACACAGCCCTTCAAATGTATATGAAGCATCTCAGATGTAGGATGGGTTTTGCAAAGTCTTCTGCTTTCTGACGATGATGTTGTGTCGCATTGAGATGCAGAAACGATGGCTTTGCTGTGTAAAAGCCGATCAAGCTGATTAAACCTGCACCAAGAATCTGTTTGTAGAGGAGCATTTGAGGCTATTGAGCTTTGAGCCGTGACAAATGGGCTTGACAGAAGAATGTGATGAAATTGTTCGGTATCCTTCGTTTATCTATTCTTCACCCTGATTCATCATCGGTTTACTTCGCTCCATATTCTATTAATAAAAATCTATTTCATTAATTTTGCAATATTCTTCTCTTGTGGATACTGCAATGATCATATACAATAGGCATGGATACCGGAAAATCCGGACGAAAACGAAGATATCTTAAATGAGTATGCCCTCTATTTCACATTAATTAAAAAAAAAAAAGATTTACATTATTTCTTGATATATCTGAGGAAAAAAAAACCAAAACCTGTGAGCGGAGGAGGAACTAACTTGGTGTCTGTGTAGTTTTTGTTAAAGTTTGGATCCGAGAGATAAACTAGAAGGCAGAGAGATAAACTACTTAAACACGAGAAATACCGAGCTTGCGTTCGAACAAGCGGCGGAGAAGATAAACCTGTAGGACGCTGGCTCCGACCAATGCCGCTGACTCGAACATCGCCTTGTGAATCGCCCTTTTGCTCATGTTCTCGTTCACTGCGTATTCCCCACACAGACATCACTCAACAGTTAGAGCCAGACCGAGGAATTTTCACCAAACACACAATGTCATGATCCCAACACTCTTCTCCTAGAGGCTTGTCGGAACCAAGAAACGCGGTATATCCAACCGAAACGTTTAGAATTTTTCGTGTTTTCTAGAGAAAGCGAAACTTTAAGGTTAAACTTTGGGATCTAAACTATGAAAAGTTAAGGTTTTTGCATGTTTTCGAGTTGAAGCCTAACTCAAGGCTCCGAATGTATGTATTAGGGAAATATCTACGACTTTTAAGAGAAGGGGGGGGGCAAAAGAAATGGGAAATAGAGTTACCGATAGCCTGACGGTCGGTCTGAGCCTCCAACCAGTGTTGCTCAAATTGAATGTTGTAAAGGGCCTCTTCCAACTTGGATATCTGCTCCATCAATGGCGTAAAATGCTCTGTTTCATATGTTTAACGGTGAGACCGCTCTCAGCAAATCACTCAAATTCAGAAGAAACCGAAACCAAAAGAAATAGAAAAAGATTGAATGATCTTTACCGTCTTTTGCGTGCTGATCGTAGTATGCAAAATGAGCGAGTTGTACGTCGAAGTCAATGGTTTCGTGATAAGGAGACTTGTTCGTGAAGCAGAATCTGTAAACCCCTTTCTTTTGGACCATAAACTCGAACTTGCCGCTTGTCTGGTCCCGGAAGTCATGCACTTGTTCACCTGTCGGGCCGTGAATCTGATCAAATCAAAGGAATTCCGTGTTTTGCTTATCTTCCACTAACATTGTAACAGAACACAAGCAAGAAATCTTTGTACGGTCTGAAACTGAAAGCATCCTAAAAGCATAGATGAAACATCCTAAAAGCTCTGCTCACAAAAACCAGCCAAAGGTGATACACCCAGAACCTCGATTCCCATCCACTGTTACCAAATCGTCGAAATTCCAAAACTTTGAGAGATTAAAAGCAGTTAATGCCAAAAAAACAACAGTGAGATCACAGAGATATGAAAAAGACATACCACAAGATCTACACCATCATCGTTATAATGCCACTGGGAATCGGACTTGACGACAACGAACGAGGTGTGAAGCGTATCGCCTTCATACTGGGCATTATGGGAGAAGCACTCTTCTCTGTCTATCACGAACCTAATCCCTAACGTGACCTGGAAGCTCCATAGGATCCCTAATAGCACGACTGTATCCTTCAAGCCCATCTACCAATATGATTCGCATAAAAAAAATGATCATTGAATTGTACAGAAGAAACCCAGATTGCAGTTTACCAAACCCATCGAATCCTTCCCAAATTTGAGTCCTATGAAGTTAAGCTTCGATTTGGGAATGGACTCAGGGATAGAGAGGGATTAAACCTTCAAAGTACACCAATTCAGGGGATAATTTAGGACAGCTCGACCGAAATTTCAATCTGGTTGCTATAATTGTCGGATTCGGAGTGATCAGAGAATCCGAGAGGCGGCGGAGAACGATCGAGTTTCGTCAAAGAACCGGACACGACGAAGGTGACTTGTTTGGACGCACGGGTGGCGCAGTTTCGTGATCGGACAAAGAGATTTAGATGAAAGCGACGTCGTTTGACAATAAGAGAAGCTGCTTGGTCAGCTTTCTCACGTGGTGCATTATGATTGGAGTAGAGGCGTCATCTGCCACGTAATTATATATGTACATAAATGCAGCTAGGGATGACCATTTCGGTTATTAACTGAACCGAACCGAATAAAAGCGGTTTCGATTAATAACCGAACGATTGAGGAAGTTGAATAACCGTTCGGGTTCGGTTCGGTTCGGTTAATAACCGAATAACCGCGGTTAACTGAATGATTATTAGAGTTTTTATAATATTTTAATTTTTACTCTTATTATTATTAGTGTTATTTTTTTGTAGTTTATTTGTACCGTATGTATGTGTTTTACCTAATAAACCATAAAATTTAATATTTTTAACTTTTAATCTAATTATTGAAGTTTTTGTAGATTTTTTTGTAACTTTTTTTGAAGATTAATTATTTTATGAATTTATTTGGATAGATATTTTGAAGTTGTATAGGATTAATATTCTTTTTTTAAAAATATATCATAACCGAACCGAACCGAATAAACCGAAAAATTTAACCGTTTGGTTATAATTTTTTTATGCAAAAACTGAATCGAACCGAACCGAATAAATCTATATAACCATTTGGATATGATTTTTTTATAACCGAAATAACCGAATCCGAAATAACCGAACCGAAAACCAAACCAAAACCCGAAATGGCCACCCCTAAATGCAGCGACGAAAAATCAATTACGGGATCCATTAAATTTACATGAAAATGTGGATGCTTACCTAATATAAAACCTTTTGGATTATACATCTCTTTTTTCGTCAACAATCTATTATCTAAAGTATTTTTTTTAAAAACATTTTGTTATTTATTATGTTAAAGCAAGGAAAGAGCATATTCAACATCTAGAAGATTGGAGTTGATAAATGGAAGGTTAGAACTGAATTTGGGAAGCAAGTATGGAAAGAAGCAAGAAAATGCAATAGGACATTTATATCTATGAAGAAAAGGCAAGACGAATATTGACAAGATATTACGACAAGTATGGGGAGGTGTTGATAAAATGGTGGAAGACTTCATTACAGAAGTTAGCGAGAAAAAGATTGAAGCAAAGGTTTCTGATTATAAGGTTGAGAGTTTTTGTACGGGAAACACAGGTGAGAGTGATCTGAGAGAAAGTGAGGTACACTTAAGGAGGAACCTTGAAATAACAGGTGAACCTCTTACTGGGCCTAGATTAGGTCTGGGATAACAAAGGGTGTGCACTGCACACAAGGTGTTTGTGGCTGGTAGAATTTCTTGTGATACGGGATTCTACTCAGGGGGAGTAGAACGAGTGAGTGAGTATTACTTGGAAAGTCTTGAAGTGTACTTGACTCTTATCAAAGAAATAAAATCAGTTTGGGAATTCTTATTCTGCAATATTGCGTGGGTATAATTTTTCATATTACATCATATTTAATATATTTTTTTCCAAACAAATCAAAATATCTTTCCC